AAGTTTTTATTAAAAAAATTAAACTTTTTAATAAAAACACAGGCAAATTTGCCTGTGTTACAATTTAAGGGATAATGTTCCTCCTAATGAACAAGAGTTTATAAAAAAAGAAATAGAACGAATACTGGAAAGTGAAATTATCCGACCCTCTGAAAGTTCCTAAACCTCACCTGTTGTTTTGGTGTGAAAGAAAAATAGTAAACTTAGATTCTGTGTTGATTACAAAAAACTTAATAGTATTACCAAGAAAGATGTATACTTTCTACCCCAAATACAAGAAATACTCAATACTCTTGCTGGATCTCAATGATTCTCTACTTTAGACTTAGCTAGTAGATATTGACAAGTTATGATGGATTCTAAAAATAGAGAAAAGACTGCTTTCATTACTAAGTATAGTATTTATGAATTCAATGTAATGCTTTTTGAATTGTGCAATGCTCCTGCCACATTCCAACATTTAATGGATTGAATTTATAAAGGACTTATCTGGAAATCTGTAGTTGTATATCTTGATGATACTAACATTTTTTTACGAATATTTGATGATTATTTAAAACATTTGCAAATCATGTTTCAACACATTAAAGATGCTAGATTAAAGTTAAATCTAGAAAAGTGTAATTTCTGAATGAAATCACTACCTTTTCTTGGACATATTGTTAGTTATAAAGGAATTTCTCCTGACCTCTCAAAAATAAAAACAGTACAGAAAATACAATCTCCTAACAATATTACCAAACTTAGATCCTTCTTAGGTCTTGTAGGATACTATCAACAATTTATCTGGAACTTCTCTGCCACAGCCCAACCATTAAACCAACTTTTACATAACAATATACCATATCATTGAGGACCAAAACAACAAGAAGCTTTTAAGTTTCTTAAACAAAAGCTTATTACTGCACTAATACTTGCTTATCTTGACTTTAAACGCCAATTTATTTTGGCTACTGATGCTTCTTATTATGGATATAGAGCTACTCTAAGCCAAATAGATAGTGATGGAAAGGAACATCTTGTTGCCTATACAAGCAAAAGTCTAAGATCTGAAAAGCAAAATTATTTTGCTACAGAACTAGAATGTGCTGCTATAATATAGGCTATAGAGCATTTTTATAGTTATCTAGATGCTACTGAATTCACACTTGTTACTGACCACCTCACTCTTAAATAGCTTAAAACTATTAAACCTAAAAGACATATTGGAAGATGGATTTTGAAACTACAACCCTATAATTTTGTCATAATTCACAAACCAAGAAGAATTCACTCGAATATAAATGCTTTGTCAAGACTCTAACCTATATCTTTGTAAATATATGGATTTAAATTGATATCAAAATATTTATAATTACTTAAATTCTCGAACAATACCAACAAATTTTACCTCTTATTAATGAACCCAACTCCAGAATCAAGCAAAATACTTTGAGATTAAAAATGAACTGTTGTATAAAAGAAATAAAAAGAAACCAGATCAACCTTTTCGAGTTATAAAATGAACTGAAGTAGACCTTGTTTTATATATGATGCATAATCATCCTACTGCTAGACATCTAGAAATTGATGCTATGTATTATAAAATTGTAAAACACTATTATTGAGACCAAATGTATAGAAATATTAAAGAATATGTTAAAACTTGTAAGCAATGCCAACGTAGAGGCAAAGCTCAAAGAAAAGAACCATTACATCCTATTAAAATAGGACAAGCATTTGAAAGAATTAGAATAGATTTAGTAGAACCCCTACCTATAACCAACTCAAATAATTGATATATTATTGTTGCTACAGATTACCTAACTCGATAGCCTGAAGCCCAAGCTGTATCTGATGCTAGTGCCTTGACTCTCACCAAATTTATCTTTACTGAAATTGTAAGTCAACATGAAATTCCCAAGATACAGTAATACTCTCTGACCAAGGACCTAATTTTTAAGGTGACTATAGCAGAATTGTGACAAATGCGGTGTGACTATTGCGAGAGTTGACTGTATTTCATTCTATTAATCCAATAATTACCTATGTACAGTAGGTTGGTTGTGTTACGTGTAATTAAGTTTAAATATCCAATCGCCAAAAATTTTGATCTCAGTTTTTTTTTTAATTAACATTTTATTTTTCCTAAATTTTACGTTACACCTAATCTTGGGACATTCTTGGGGTAGTTGGCTTTAGCGGCCGACCACCCAAAACTAAATTTTGCATCCCTGTGAGAGTTTAAGTTCCAGTCAACACTGTCTTTTTAAAACAGTCTGTAGATTTCGTGCTAACAAAACGATTCTGAGGTTTTTATGCCATCATTATAAATTTGCCACATAATAAATATATATATATATATATATATATATACCGATTATACTATATACTGTAATTTCTAGCCTAGAGGCAACTTAGCGAATTCGTGTAACAATCATTAACGAAATTACTAATTAAACCGAGGTACATATCGCAGGGGCGCGAAGCAAACGCGTAATTTATTAATTATTGCGTTATTTTAATAAACAAGATTCTTTTATAACAAATATAACTCAAAATTTATAAATTTTACAAGAAAAATAAAAAAAATAAAATAGTTAAATAAATAATTAAAAATTGTATAAAACAATATAATATAGTACAGTAGTACCTGATAATTATTCCGGACCAACATTTAACATATTTACTATATACTATATTTCTAATAATCCATATCTTAATGCAGACATACGCTAAATTTTAATTTATAATCTTTAGAATCATCATACCTACATGATACGTTTAAACCGGAAATTTTGATTAGGCTTAACATATGAAACAATTAGGGAAGCATAATTTTGGCATCTGTATTTGCGAATAATAACCTTCTGAATTTCAGACAAAGTAGCAGTACATACACTTCATGAAAAAGGATAATAAAATGAACCTAGCATATAAGCATAAATTAAATTAGCAATGATACATGTGGGTATGCAATAAAAGTTTGTTTACAGCATACCTTTATGAATCGATACATCCTTGAAAAAAAAGATTCTTACAAATCTGAATTTCATTGACAATTCAATTTTAATATACCCTTTTCGGTATTTTTAATGCTATTGGAAACCTGTATATTAGACATAATATCACACCATGTTTAAAACTAATTTAGGATGAATAAAATCCTAAACCGAAAACTCAGCACAATGAAAAAAAAAATGAAAAAAAAACTAGAATGTCGGTAATAATCCTATGATATCTAAGCACCAAACCTATGTCCTATTTTTTCCCCTTCTCCTTTCCATAATCTGTAATCTCGCTTCTGCCTCCTCCTGTGCGACAGTTTTGTAAAATAAAGAAGGTTTTGCATTTGTACGTGAAAAAATAAGTTCAGGCGCGACATGATTTACGGTTTGCCGCACATTTGATATAGTAGCTGAATTATTAAAATTATTACTTAGTATAAATATCAAAAGTACGACAGGAAAAAATGCATATAGATAAGTTATATACTATTATTTTTTCCATTAGATCTTGTATCATGACCTGCAGGCGGAACTGTTTTTGCTTCTGCATCCGCGATTAATTCTTTTGCTCTTTCTATAGTCAAATATTCTAGTTCCAGAGGTCGACCTGTCTCAGCTGGAAAAGTAACTTGCCAGAGAGATTGTCTGGCATTAATTGCCGATGATAATGTCTTATACTATCACAAACGTTGATAATGAAAAATAATATAAACGTCATTTACAAGTTTACTATCATAAGTAAAATAAAAAATAATAATTAAAAATAAACCTCGTAAAAATGGCACATGCCTGTACATAACAATGGGACTTAATTTTATCCATCCAGAAATACTCAATCTCGCCGAATTGTTGTAATAACTCTCGAACCTTTTGGAGTGTTAAAGGACGGACGAAATTCTTGACGTAAAGTGTCGATGTTGGCTCATGTTCAGAGGGCACTATACAAATTAGAACAAATATATAACAGGTTATATTAAATCTCTAAGAAGTGCATAATTATATCCAGTGTTGTCAATGGACGTGGACATGGACATTTTATGTCAATGGACAAACAAAGGTTATGTCCAAGAAATATAAATGCTTTGTAACTTATCAAAGCAAAAATCACTCAATTATGGTAATCTGGATCGTGTAAACCAAGATTAGAACTATACCTTAACTTACTTAACATACAACTCATACGGAATGATATTACAGTTTCAACGATAATTATATGTTGTAATCTCTATTTGAGAAACCTTCGATATAAAAAAAGCTGACTAATATAAAGAAAATTTGATTGTTAAAAGTATTTATAGGCGATCTTGCAAATTTTAGCCAATCAGAAGTTTCTATAATCACATGTACTTGGACCTCATAGACAGACATTCGTCTGATTGGCTGATGTAAATCAATTGCCGGGTAACTTATTTATACAGTTTAAAGT